ACATTGATGAGCTAAAAAAAAAAAAAAAAAAGGTCTTCACTTTTTGAATCAAAAACCCTAGCAATTTCGAATAAATTACACGAAAAATAAATTCTCATCCAAATCACAGGGGGGGGGGTTACCCCCCCCCCTCCGCACACTACTGGTTTATTATGTTCACATAAAAATGTAGTTATTATTCTTCTTTTTCCGTAGCAAATGTGACGTGTCATGAGGAGTGCCTGGGCAATTGTGTCAATGCATCGGCCAACGGTTGTTTGGTATGCAAACATTTACAAATTATGAAAACGCAAACGTGCGTCGCCGAATGTCCGAAAAATCTATTTGTCTATAGTAGTTTTTGTGTTGAAGCCGATTATTGTATAAAAATGGACAAAAAACCGATAATGGGCGAGTGTCGTCATTCATGTCCGTTGATCATATCCGAAGCGAATGTGAATATATCAAGTATTGAACAATGTGCACGTGAATGTCCGGGTACCGAAATCGATTCGTTGGCAACAAGTGATTTATTACGTGGCTGTCAAATAGTTAGAGGTGATATTTTTATTCGTCTTCAGTCGGGCGTTTATAATACAATGGAGATATTGGAACGAAATTTGGGTGATATTGAAGAAATTGAAGGTATTTTAAAAGTGCATCGATCGCCGGTCATCACATCATTGTCGTTTTTTCGAAGTTTACGCGTTATTCGTGGCACTCAAGTGGAAGCCGGAAAATACACATTCATTGTGATGTCGAACGAAAATCTACAGGAATTATGGAATTTTGATGTGAAAAGAACACTAGAACTATCACGTGGAAATTTATTGGTACATTTTAATAGTAAACTGTGTTTGAAGAAAATTTATGAATTGCAACAAGTGTTAAAAACAAATACGAGCGCCGATTTTATCAGTCCCGAATCAAATGGGTATGAACAAACGTGCGTGGCAAGGCAGATTGTTGCATGGAGCCGAGTTATATCGAGTACACAAGTTGAAATCCTATGGCATCGAATCAATGTTTCGGAGACGGAAAAAGTTATTGGTTATGAAATTGCCTATATTGCTTCACGGGAGAAAAATGTTAGTCGTATCGGCATTGATACATGTATTGGGTGAGTATTTTGCCACACAAAAAAAATGAAAGAGAGAATAATGAAATCTTTTTTCTTTCACATCAAGCTATGGATGGGAAACACACATAGTGCTAAATGTGACCGATGATCCTCTAGTAAAAATTCACAGTTCCATAATCAGTGAATTAACGCCATACACACAATATGCATATTACGTAAAAACATCTGTGGTGCAAAAAGCGCATGAAGAAGAAAAGCTTGGTGTCAGTCAGGGTTTGAGTAATATACTCTACTTTCAAACAACTGCCGAAGCTCCAACGTATCCCGTTGTTGAGACACAGAAAAAGACTAGCACGTCGATAACACTGACGTGGCAGCCGATGTTTGACAACGAATGGATTGAATATTACAAATGTGATATATTCATTCAGAAGGATGAGCATGAGCTGTTGGATACACGTGATTATTGTGAAAATCCTCGTGTCGATATGCACGTGAGTATTGGCGTCGAAATTAGTCCAAGTGCTATGTATCAAAGCTGTAATGCTGAATTTGAAGATTGGAAAATTGCCAATCCGGACAGCGTTGATCCCGAGTACGAATGGAAAATTCACCGAAAAGCTCATTGTGCCCAAATACTATCGCGTCAAGTGAGAGAAAAGGGTCAATCACAAATCATGAAATATGTAAAAAATCATGAGATTGTCAGTTGCAACAGTGATGAAAGTTGTCAAGATACCATTGTGCGCAGATCACGTCAAATTCATAGTCTACTGCCGGACGATGGGGTGGATCGATTCCGAAACAGTAGCACAAATTTGGGTCTTCGACATTTGAGAACAATTCGTTTTCCATCGGAACGATTGAATGCAACCATTTATGATTTATTACCATACACGCTATATATTTTCCAATTTTTTGCATGCAATCGATTAAATTGTAGTTCATACTATTTTTATTATGATCGAACAGAAAGTTCCGTTTATGCAGATTCAATTCCATCGCTTGTGGTCGCATTCGATCCACACGATTCGAATATGGTGCATTTGGATTTTTCCGAACCACCACAACCGAACGGATTAACAGTGGCATTCGAAATTGAACAGCATGAATTGGCCATATTTAATGCAACAGTTGTGTGCATCACACGGAAGGGCCACTATGCAAATGGAAAAAGGTGAATATATATGTCTTTTTTTGATTTATTTCGAATTAATTTCAAAGATTAAAAAATTATTGAAGGACAATTGAGGGGTTCAGAGGAAAAATATTACGTAGAAAAGTTCGAGAGCTAATTGGTACCAAATAGCTTTAGTTGAGCTATTTGGTATCATTTAGAAGAGCTATTTGGTACCAATTAGCTTTGCTAAATGATATCATTTAGCTCCCGAACATTTTTTCGCGGAGCTTTTCCACGTAACATTTTTCTTCGGAACCCCTCAATTCAAATCAGTGATGGCTTTTTGCTGTCTGAATAGCGCTAGATATTCACAGCGTGTACAGACGCATTGCTGCCTAGATGCTGATTCGATGTGTTCACCCCATACCGCATGCAGAACACACTTATTTTGTATATACCACACACGCGGTGAACGCATCGAATCAGCATCTGGGCAGCAATGCTGGACAGACGCTGCGAATATCTAGCGCTATTCAGACAGCAAAAAACCATCACTGATTTAAATTCGTTTCAGATACACATTTAAAAATTTGAAAAAAGGTCAACACAGTTTTCGTGTGCGATCCGTTTCACTGGCAATGACTGGCGCCTACAGCGAGTATAAATTCATCAATATTCTTTCTGATAAGCCATCCCCAGCTACCGTTGTTGGAACCGTGTCGCTGCTTTTGGTTTGCATATTTGCCGTATCAATAATGGTGTTCTGCTTCATGCGTTATAAGAGGCGCCATCGTGTTTGTGATATTCACACTAGCCGACAAAATATTTTAATGGAAATGGAGGAGTTTGATCGGCCACAAGAAGACGAAATTCCGTCATTCTTTTTTTCACAAAGAAGTAGAAACGATATTAGAGAAGTATTCTAATTATAAACAGTACACACAGAGAAATTTTACAAAGAAAACTAGATGGCACGATGGGAACCAGTATCGTATATTCCCCATACAAATTAATTTTATCGATTCTACGAATACGACATCTGTTGAAAAAGATACCGATTTTTGTTACTACTGTTGCTTTGACACAGCTCGAACGAACTTTACGGCTATGGCTGTATTACAGACGAACTAATACAAAAGAACACACAGACTCCGATCCTGTGTATGCGTATGTATTGTAAATTTTGCACAAGCAGCTACGATTGACGACTGAGTGCAGAATTTGTAATACATATGCATACACAGAATCGGAGTCAGTGTGTTCCTTTGTACGTTTACACGAGCTGTATTTAAACACCACTAGTTACAGAAATCGGCGAGTTTTTTAGTAGATAGAATTGTATTTGTCCATATAATCTTCATGTAAAATATCGTTTTTGTGTATTCCCTTTTGTGCGGATCTTCTTCAAAAGACAAACGAAGAAGAACCGCACAAAGAAGAATACACAAAAACGATATTTTGTATGAAATTATATGAACAAATACAATTCTATACGGAGTGTCAACTTGTTCCGAATTTTATACGATAAGCCATCTAGTTTTCATTGCAATATTTCTCTTTGTGCAATTGCATCAGGAAATAACAAATTTTTGATCTTGTTCAACAATTTTTTCTTTATTTCATCATCTTCGGGTAGCAAAAGAACAATTTAAAATTCATTGTGCCTTTTAGTAGTACTATGTCATTTGTATTTAAGTCATTTAAGAATAATTTTTTTTATTTCCATTCATACATCACTGTTAACTATATTTATTATTTATTATTGTGAATTTTATACTTTTGAATAAGTTGTTCTATTATATTAAAAAGAAACAGAGAGAGAAAATCACACGTTTTGTTTGCTAATAAGAAGGAAAGATTTTTTTTGTTTGATTGTACGTCTACACGCGAAAGTATTATTGTTAAATTTATTATTGATCACATTTCAATCGCAAGTGAATAAAAACTATTTATAATATATATATATTTACATTGCACAACGAATACGTTTGTACGAGCGGATTCCAAACTGGTAACGTTATTTATATATATGGTATCCGTACAAATTCCATTCAGATCAGAAATACCTATAATGATAAGGATCACGGAATGAAAGTGAATTTGGGGTAACCGAAATGATTTTGATTTGGTTTCGTTGACTGATGATGACGACGATGCAGATGGAATGGTGCCAAATTTTGAATTGGATTTTATTTTGTGTAGACACAAGAAAAACAGTTTGTTATGACATGAATTTGTTTGTACTAATAATGCTTATGACATTTTTGTATCTCCTTACTCGGACGGTGAGTTTTCCTTTATCCACTGAATAAAGTGAGCGATCGAGGTATACACACTCGGAATATTACGTCCGCCACAATTGTCGGATCCGAACGACATGATACCAACTTGTAAATATACACCACTCTCTTTGATCACTAACGGGGCTCCACCGAAACCAGCACACACATCACGACCTTTTATTCAATTCGATTATTATTGGATTTAGGATATATTACATCCGCAGCGGTCCACAATTCTTTTTTAATTACCACATCCAAAAAAAACACTTTTGGCATCATTTTTTTCCAGAAATTCATATGGAGTTCATTCAAATACGGCCCCTTGTCATTTTTAGGTGTAATATTCGATCAACTCTATCTATCGATTTTTTGGACTTCTAGGGGCCGTATGTAGACTTCTAGGGATTTATTCTGACCCCTTGTGAAATTGGATTTGGGAAGTTACCCCTTTACAAATTAAGAAAAATAATCGAAATATTCTTTCGATTTGCTAGGGATTGTTGCGAAAAAAGTGAAAACCTTTTCTTGCTCAACAAGATTTTCAAAATGGGAAAAATTCTTTCGATTTTCGCCAAAAAACCTGGGATTTGGATAGAATGGTGAAGCTGAAAATAGTCCCTTTACAATTTTGATTTTTTTTTTTTGAAATTAAAGCCCCTCCTTGGATCGCGATCGTCAGAAGCTATGGTTTCATATGAATTCCGGTAAGAATGTTTAATGGGAAAGGTGTTCGTCACATCCAGTAAGAATTTAGAAAATAATTCGTGTGAATTTGTGGAACGCTGGGGATGTTTACTGTTAAGTATCAAATGTTCAGAAAAAACATGTTTTTGTATACCTTCACCGCCCGCACACATCCACTGTCCTTCAACCGATTTAGGTGATTCCAAAGCACCAGTTGACCCATAAATACTAAAAGAATAACAAAATGAATAAAATATAAAATATTAAGCGGCAAAACGCTATACCGTGCGCATTGATCCCATGCGGTTAATGGAACTTCCAAAAATTGCATAACCGGTTGCCGTTGTATATGTGACATTTTTCCCCATCCAACAATGGTGGCTTTGCATTTAAAAAAAAAAAAGATATAAAATGAGAGAAAAGACCAACAATTGGCTAGAGAAAAATAGATTGGATATGTATTTGCCTACCACGTTTTCCCACAATCAAATTATCTCGATCGGGATGAAGACAAATCGGTTGTGATGCAACTAAAATTTCATTTTCAAGTCCATATAACATTTGATTATTTTCAACCATGAAACTTTAATTTGATTTTGATATTATGTTTATAATTTGAACAAGGTTATATTTAGTTATTTACTGTCACTTTTGTTGTATATTTTTAAATGAATCGAAGATGATTTAAGTTAAAATGTAATATTTTTTCACGTAAAATTATGAATTGTACTCGTTTTTTTATTTACATTTTTGCTCACCTGTATAATTTAATGGTGTTTTCAATATCACTAATGCAATGTCATGATGATAGTGTCCGTGCTTATAATCTGGATGAATGATAACATGCGATATTAAATGATTTATTACGGTTGGAGCGCAGAAACCGGATGCCGAACAATCAGGATCACTGCTTGTATCGTACTCTCCCAGTCGGACGCTGGTTCTGAACAATTCAAAAATAAGCACAACAATGTTTTTTCGGTATCATTTTGAATCATTAGGTCACATTTGAAATTATTGACATGCAACTGTGCACGACAGTTTTGTTATTGAATACTATTTATTTAATTTGTTGGTCGGAATTATGGAAAAATAAAGCAAAAACGAAAAGAGCAATCACTTACAAGCGATATCCTTCAGCTTTGGCCAACGCACAGTGAGCTGCTGTTAGAATCTAATTTAACGACAAACATGATATAAAAATGCGGGAAAATCAGAAGAAAAACATCGATATGTATTTGCTTACCACTCGTCTCGAAATGATGCTGCCAGTGCACGGATAAGCAACTGTATTTTGTTTCAGGTCTGTTGTTTAAGTAATTTTTGGCCAATTAAAAAGAGATAACAGTTATAATGAGTCTGGCTTTGTGATCTTATCAAAGTATAATAATTCCAGTGAAAAAGAAAAAAAAACAAAAATATGACAATTTTGGTTTGAGCTATAGCGGAAGTGAGTAATCTCATAAATTCGATCTTCGATCGTAAATTCATGTTCGACAATCAGTTTTGCCAATCAAAAGATACACTTATATTGAGCGATGGTTTATGGATCGGTTAGATTATGACATTTTTGGATCACTACTGTAAAACACAACTGATATGTTAGTAAAAATATCATCAAATAGAAAACCATTTAGAATTACATAAATTTGCATATGAACTGATAATTTCCTATTGGAAATTATGCTTTACATACACGGTAGTTGAATTTTTTTCGCCGTAATTGAATACAATTTTTTTTTAAATTATGTAAATCCAATCAATTCGATTCGATATATGCCATAAATTGATAGTTGACACGAAATAAGTTTATGAAAGTCATGTTGGGTCGTGAAAGTCGATGGTACTCACAACATTTTCGGTAACAAATGGATCACAAAATCTTCAACGAGACACTTTTTTCTTCAAAAAAAAAAACGAAAACTAAAAATAAACAAAAAAAAGAAGATCTCGAAACGGTTAAACGGTTTACACAGGTAGCTCAACCATGAAAAATGTCTTCTTTAGATGTTTATCGACATGAGTCGCTGAACGCAAATTGCTTTTCTTTTTTTTCACTACCCAAATAACTTTTCATTTCATCTTCAGTCTTTTTCTTTGCTGCATCATATTCGAGGCATTATATCCCATAGATGTCAGTGTGAATTCTTTGTACGTTTCCGAAAAAATTTCTTTTTAAAAATTAATTTCATCACAGTTTTCAATTGTGTTTTTTTTTTTGTAAAAGTTCAAATTAGAAGAAAAAAGAATAATTTAAAGCGAGGGACTGGGTTTGGAAATTCTTCAAGAGATCGAATATTTTATTTTATTTTAAACGAGATTTCGATGGTCAAATCAAATAAAACTTACTTTTAAAACCGATTCGGGCGACAAACGGGAATGCACCCAATCCACGATAAAATTGTCCGGCAACCAATGTTTTTCCACACACACTATTTTGTTCGACGGGACTTTTCGGGCAACATATGAATGGTTCATATTGATTGCTCCCACAATACACGGATCGATCACCAGTGTAACACGATTTGGCCGCCTCATAATACATTGCCGTGCATTCTGACATTGGTACACAAATTTTTCCGCCCGAACAAGCTCCACCGTAGCTTGATCGTGTTTCAACATCAATTGATCTTTCGTTTCCACCTTCCAATATAATTTGCTGTTGTTCATCCGAAGAACTCACAAACGACGAACGACCTGTTGATAAATCCATGTACCAAAATTCAATTCAAAATTCGATTCAAAATATTTTATATCCAAATAAAAGAAAATTAACACTTTACCAAAGTCATCTTCACAATTAACACTGTTAAAACCATAAATTAAAATGAATATGATTCCGTTGACCGATCGTAAATACATTGTGAAATGCTTATGTTAGATTCTAAGAGAAAAAAAGAAGATGAAGAATATGAAATTCGTGTGGCACTGCTCGTCTGCAAACTATGAACTGATTGGAGACAGCTATCACTTTCGACTGACTCAGTCGAATGCAAGCAATTTCATCTGAGCCACATACTATCGTGTATACCAAATCGATGGCAGGTAACGACAAACACTTGTCTATGAATTAGATGTTACGGTTTAAATAATAAAAGCATATATACACACACGCCATAATGGCATGTTATTGTTTGGTTTTGCCAAAAATGATGGAAAGAGACATAGCAGAAAGCGCCAAACACGCTAAACGAATGAACAAACAACGAGTATGTACATGAACGAGTACGAGTGTGTGCACTGGATAATAAAATGATCGCAGAGAGAATTCACAGAACTATGAAATCGATTTGAAAATTGTCAGTCATCAAATTACAGTGCGTTGAACAAGAGTGAGCGAGCGAGCAAGCGAGAGAGAGAGAGCGAGCGAAGCATATGGATTTATTGAACGAAAAACGGTAGCGGAAAGATAAGATTTCAATGTATACGTGTCAATATTACCACTTGCTGATTCGCTACCATTCAAAACCGATCTTATCTGCATCAAATCCACACACTCACAATTATTGAATTCAAATGAGACATAAAAATGTAGAACAACATATGCTGTGTGATCATCAGTATAATTTCGTTTTGCGTGTTTGCCTCCAATTTAACCGAGCAGAACTGAGAACTTTTGGTTTTTACGCCAATTTCGTTGTGGTGTGCATTTCGAATGTGGTTTTTAGATATACTTTCACACACAATTGAAAACTAGTCCACAACGAATCATTTCCGGTTAATGTCGAAATCGTGATTGCTTTGAAAGCGAACGTGATCACATGAAATCGGATTGGGGTTTTCCATGAAAATTAAAAGAAAAACGGAAGTGTTAAAGTTAATCTGTGTCAGTGGGAACTTTTTTATTCAGTTTATTTCGAATTGTGCATGTAAATTCCGGAAAAATTCCAGTTGCAACCGGGAATTTCGCAATTTCCCTCACGATACATCCAAATCTCATGAAAAACAACCTGCATCAATTAAAAAAAAAAAAAAAACAAGAAAAAAATATTTAATAAAATAAAACAAGATAAGACGTGATTTAGTTTTTTTCAATTTTATTTTGATTCGGTGAACAGCAATATAAAATACAATCTGGTGACAGAATTTTTGTTTGAGATTTCTTTTTTTATACCGACAAAACAAAATAACTTGCGGTGAATCAACACATTTAATGAAAAGCAGATCTTGTTCGAAACAGAACTTATATAAAACACAAAAAATATGTACAAAAACTGTCTTTCGCGCTTCTGATAAATCAGAGTCGGCCCTTTCCACTAATCATCTTTCTTTATATGTCATACCTTAAAATAATGCTTAAATAAATTTCCTTCAAATGTCAAAATATGCTAATTTTGCCACAAAAACAATTGTATAACCACGATAAATTAAAGCATAAAAACCTAAAAATAATAAACAAATGCTTTGGTAAGGATTTTTAGTTTTAAGATATTTGTTTCGTGTGGATTGAAACATACACGCACCGCTCGAGTACATAGTACTTGAAATCTTGTCGTTTATCTACAAAACAAATCATCACTATTTTCTGCTAAAGATCCTAAGTAGAGTATGTATAGCTTGTTGTTGTTGTTTTTTTTACTTTAATACGAATATGCAGAGCTTAAAATAGATTTAATTATGAAATATTCGAATTGATTGTATTGAAACAAGAGTAATGCAAGAATTTGAAAAAATGGCCACGATGTCAAGTTGCCCTCTTCCACAGGAACTAAGCAAAAAAATTGCGAAAGTTAAAATATATTGTGTGTTGTTGTTTTTTCTCTTGGAATGTCTTCTTTTGTTACAATTTTGATGAAAAGACTTGTTTATTATCCAGCCTTTTCGTTTTGTTTAGCCTTTGTCAGTGCTTCGAATGCTTCGATTTCCTTTTTCTCCTTCTTTGAGTTTCGCTCTTCAAATTCCACCCGGTGTTTTATAATTCGTTCAACTATCTTTTCAGTTGTCATTGTGTTTCCTGTTATGAATACAAAAATATTTCTTTAGCACCATTTTTTGTCAAGAAAAAAATTTCTTTGAAAAGGCATTGAATTTATTCTCACCGGAATCGACTGAAATGAATTTGCCCATCATCTTTGGAACTGCATATGGATCGTGTACGCTGTTTTCCAGTGGGAGATCCGTTTGACCGTGACACACGACACCCACTTTGAAGTGATTCATTAGGTCAGTGGTCACTGAATATGGTGCGCCGATAACCACTTCATTGACGTACTTGAAAATTGAAAAGAGAAAAAACCGTTTAATTAGGTGATAGCCTCACAGAGATAGCTGTGAACAATATAATAAATTTGTTGATTTTATTTACCTTGCATGCAAGCACACTGAGTACACGCTCGTGGATATTCATAATCGGATAATTGGAACCTTTGTATTTGTTCACAACGGGATCGGTGTGTAAACCAACAATCAAATAATCTCCATGTTTTCTCGCCTGTTCAAGGAAATCCAAGTGGCCAACGTGGAATAAATCAAAAGCGCCCGCAACGTAAACCTAATTGAAATTAATAAAAAAAAATTCGATCAATTTCAAAATTAGAGATAAAATCATTTGCATACGTACAATTTTATCAGTCGGCTTTGGTGATTTGCCATCACTGAATTGAATGATCTTTTGTGTTGTCGGCAGGAATTGACTACAACCAGTCCATGGCGATCGAGCCGAATGATCCTGACCCAGATTTGATGAACCTGGATAGTTTTGTTTACGTTTGTTGAAAATTGAGTCAATTGATTTCATTATTAATGCTAAAAGTATATAGTTTTTTTTACATTGTCAACTAATTAAATCATGAACACAAAAACAAAGTTTAGCAAAAAAATAATCTTGACGTGATTTTGCAGCATGGTTACCGAGCCATTGAAATGAGATTTCAGCAACATTTATATAGCTTTATTAGTATGGTAGGTTGGTAGAAACGTGATTTTTATTCAACAATTGCAGTCTTTCATCTATAATTGTCATATAAAATCTTGTTTGATTGACCAAAATCCATTTGAATTGGTTTTTATTAGTTTTTAAATGGAAGAAGATCAAGCGCACAAAAATTCGCCGTTCCTAGCGGATTTATTTTCAGCGAAAATGTGTAGAAAAAAGTGTAAAAAACTGTTGTTGCCAATATTTATGACTTTAAAGTTCAACGACCGACCCATGCTGCGAAAATCAGATGGCACTGACACGAGAGACCAATTTATGAGGTGAGTCTATTTTTAGATATGATTAAGTGTGTGTTGTATTTAATCGAACCTTCTTTTTCTATAGCATATTCTTTTTCGCCTTGTCGAAAGTGGTTCTTTGTCAAGAGTAGCATGCGACCAACTAAATCTGTTGTCGAAATTCCTTCAGTTCGGCTTACTTCTCTGTAAAAATCGAAACAAAAAATGGTTGATTGATTGCAAAAAAAATTCCACTCATTTAAAAATGTGTATGTATCATAGTCATACTTGTAACGTTGGGCATCTTTAACAATTTGATATGTGTCCACACCATCAGCTGTCATGGTTATATCATCTGTGTGGAAATAAAAATATGATAACATTCAATTAATATGCGCAAACAAATTTTCGAAATAAAACAAAAAACATTGAAACATTTGAAACAATGAACGAGAGATCTGTGAACTTTGAACTGAGCATTTACTATATATATTCAGTGATATTGCATTGAATTTCAATGAAAGTCGCATTTTCTCAATATGTATTGATGTGACTTTTGAAACTGGTGTTGCAAAAATCGTATGATTTTTCGCTATCGTTTCCGAAAAAAAGAGAACGTCATTGACACCGAGAAAAATCAATCAACATGATTGGAATTTCTGTTTAATTGACGAACAAATGGAACACGAACGGATTTTACATATTATTTATTGATAGATAATGTGAAAAGAAAGCGCAACGATAGTGAAATAAATAGTAAGGTCGAAAGTTCGCGGGCGATAGACCTAAATCATTATTTGCTTTAGTTTTTAGTATTTCAATATTTCACATCCTATACAGAATATTATCAACAATTATTGAATTCAGTTTCTTTATGAACATTGATTAGGCTATATAGTAAAGAAGATTAATTCAATTGACATACCGCCATGAACACAGAAATCACAATTGTATTTGTCCAATGTCTCCAATGTTGTAACATATGGTGCTCCTTCAACGACTTCGTCCACCCATTTAATGCCACGTACCATTTTGTATCTACATTCAAAATAGAAATATCGTGTATAATTCTCGAATTGGTTCTGATTAAAATTCATGAATGAGTTGGCTGTGACCAATTCAGTGCTTATCAATTTTAAATGGAACATAGTGTTTTTAATCATTATTTCATATCTCATGTCTGAACACTGGTTTCTTTTATTATAAAAAAAGAAAACATAACATAATACAGTATAATAAGCAAGTATTCAGAATCAATAATTTAACAATGAGGTAACAACGTTGATTCATGATAAATTCAACCTAGTAGAATTACGATTTAAAACTGATAATGTTTTCTACGCGCGAATTGCATTTGAACGAATATTGTCGAGCAATGTTAATAAAAAAAATGTCATCGTAAAATTTCCCATTGTATATCGCACGACTTATCGTGTTTTTGTTTTGCTTTGATATTTTTTTTTTTCAAATACTAAAAAACTGTAAAAAACGAAAAGTTTGATATGAAATAGCAGAGAAAATCCAAATGGAAAAAAATCGCAAAACAACATATAAAATTGTGTTTGTTGCCAAATCGGTCATTACAGGCGGCAGGAAGTGTTGACCTTTTCAACCCTCATATAGTAAAACGTTTTTTTCATGAAGCAAAAGTGGTTATTTTAAGAAAACCTTGCTATTTTTAAACTTACCGTTCTTCTTGAGTGAAAACTGGTGGACCTTTGTGCTTCTTGATTTCTTCGTCTGTGTGAACGCCCACGATCAATTTATCGCCCAATGCTTTTGCTTGCCGTAAGGAATTGGCGTGTCCAAAATGCACCATATCATAGCTGAAACGAAAACATATTCTCAATTTAGAAATTGCGCAAAACACGAAGAATTTCAGCTATTAAAAGTGGTATTTATACAACATCGATTTATTTTGAAAACAATTCCGAGAAAGCCAATCAACGTTAATTTCACAATAGCAATAGAAACGGTATGCAATCAATTTATAAACACTGCAGGCTATTTTTGTGACGCCGACGATGCATTTGAGTTCGATCAGAGTTCAACGTGCACGCTGCCAATATCGATGAAAATGCATTGATCCGATTGTGTGAGTGCACGCGACACATTATTACATCATTACGAACAAGATTCTCACCCATGTAAAAAAAAAAAAACATATTAAAAACGCCACTTATTGCACACAAATTGCTTGCGGCTCCGATTTTAACGAGACTCGATTTTTTTTGCAACGTTAAACTAGCATTGTAAATTAATATATTTACTGGCAAGAGGAAATTAATTCTGCATTTTTTACATCGTTTCAATTTTTAAACGTTGTGTGAATGGAAAAACGTTCGATTTTATTATCAATAAAAATATGCTGAATAGCCTGAACGCTGAGTGATATTTCATTTCGGACTTTAATCATTTGTTGAATGCGAGATTCTCAGTAATTATTTACAGATTAACGCCAACCGGATTGATCTATCTTTGTCACACTGTTTAATATTATTATTTTTGACGCAGGAGATACGAGTCAGCAATTTAGTTTGAATTCATTTCAAATGACTATCAAATAGACGACAATAAATTTACGAGGAATGAAAAAAAACGATTGCTTGAAATAGTCTTAATGAGTAACTTTTCAACGCCATATCAATACCATTCATTGTTGATTCAATGGCTTTAACAACATACAATGGCGTTTTTAAAGACATTTATTTGGTCATAACCAATTCAAAATTAGTACTTTTGTACAAAACTAGAAAGACATTGAATTCGCAGTTAATTATCCTCTGGCGTTAGCATGTCTCAAGGATCGTGCAGAGTGTGGTCATGAGAATATCGATTATGTGTAGAAATGGTCACGTAGTTTCTACAAATCAAATTCTACCACGAACAATTGCATATTGTTTGGGATATTTTAAAAACTGTTCTACGACGCTTTTTATAAAAACATGAAGTTTTCTATGACGTTCTATATGTTTCTTTACTCAATTTACGTTTGAAATCTACGTCGCCGTCTAAAAATAGCGCTTTAAATTGAATCAGATTTCATAACTAAGTTACTATGTTAAATTCAGGCGCAGTGTGCAACAACAACAACAAGACACATAAGATAATGTAGCGCCTCAATTCATTCACTGTGCGAATTGTTATTGTAAAATTCTCTGCATTATAATAATAAGAAGGGAATAAAACCAGAAGCAAAGAAGAAGAAGAAGCAGCAGCAAAAAGATCGAGAGATTTGATTGATACGTAATTTGATGTGGCTCGTGAGCGGTATTAAAACAACGTGCGATTGCTACTGTGTCTCGATGCATGCAACGTGTATCTTGTATGGCCACTGTGTATATTATTATACAGCACTCTTTTGACAAATCACTATATGTGAATAACCTTGACCATGCTCAGCTGCTGTTACTGCTGTTGCGGTGCTGCCAATGTGAAAACGTGTATCGCGAACATGATGTATAAACAAAGTGAAAACTGCACGCTACATACCACATCACCGTTGCCTCTTTATAGTTCTTCTTCTTCATTCGTGTGCACCGAAGTCAGTTTTTTTTGGGGTTTCTTTTTCTTCCGCCTCGAATGATTGGTATGCGCATTGAATAATCAACAAAATACCGTATCTCATATTGCCGAAAGAAAAAATAACGCACACACACCGACGAGTGACTCTTATGAAGCGATGGGCGATCCATTGAGAATGACGGAGATATGCCACAATAGACGCTAATAACAGTGATGAGTAATAATCGCTCGATGAAATCATTATTATCGGATGAACATGGGGAAAAAAACATAAACAATACACATATATATATCATCAATATAGTACATATCTCAGATTCAATGACTCAATGTTTTGTTTCATTGAACAGACGCATTTCTCAGAATTGTTTTCGGTGAAAAGTAAAAGCGATGGAATATTTTTCATTTCTATTTTCGCTTTTTATACCAGTCTGTTGTTATTTTGAGCACGTTTATGAACTTTTCAATTATTTTTTCTTTTTATCGTATATACATTGAAATCTATTTTGTGTCAAAAGAGTTTTGCAAATGAGCATATTTTCGTATGAAAAGATGACGCATCTTGACTACATGCTGTGTTATTATTACGTCTATATAAAATCACACGAAGCACACATTGTGGGCGTATGTCATTTGTATTTTGCTGTCGATCTCAATTGTCTCATAAACTGCGTAATGACAATAAGGATAGTCCTTGGCACAAAACAGATGTGTGTAGTTTTTACAGTTATGTGTGTCAGAATGTATGGAAATAAGTTTGTCTAACTCATTTTTTATGATAATTTCTGATTATTTTGTCTGAACATTTTCTTTATCAGACTTCATTCCCCATTTCACTGCCCGATAGGGCATTATTAACTAGAATACAGTTCCTTCCGTCATGAATCCGTAAGTTAAAACAACTTTTCTACAACGTTTTTTGTTTCAACTTTTTTTCTAGTTTCCTGCATCTTTTCCCGCTCAATTAGCAAGTCTTTTTTTCTGTTCTACTACAGAGCATCACGTACTGAATTCATTACACAGACATTTATGGAAAAAAAACAACGTTTGAATTTTTTATGAGATTTTTACAGAGTGAGCGGAAGCAACAATATTTCGAACCAAAACAATGGTTGATGGTTTTTAACGAGTAAATAAACGAAATGGAAAACAATGAATATACGCGGCAATCCATTGCGGGAATGTGTCAACGTCAAGGTCAATTATGTAATAAAATGCCGAAACTTGTTCTCCTCGTTGTCGTCACACATTCTCAGTTGATGACTCAGGCTCATCATTCTCGCATCAAATATGCTAACAAAACAATGTTAAATATTAACGACACCGCTTCGACGATATGAAAATAACGTGCCCGTCTCGAGCTACGTCATGCAATAACATAAATAAAATATGTGTGTTTTTCGTTGAGAAAAAAGGCCGGATATCGCTTCAAATATAGATTAATCGGTCCAATTAAATCTACTGTGTTTTTCGGTATAGAAATCCGTAAATTACCAAACAATTTTATTGATTTGTGTAGTACATACCAGCCGTCGCACCAAACACGAACGTCCTTTTTTTCGTTGTCCGACATGATTCAGTTGATTGGGTTTTTTTATTGGTCAAAATGCAAAAATTGCAGCGTTAAAATTCCGAAGAGTCGATAAAAAAACTGTATCTTTTTTTTATTTGTGGTTGTTGTCTCTCCAAACTCACTAACGGTTAACACAAAAACTTGGACTTTGCACTGTTAATGTTTAGCACTTAAAATCGATTGCCGTTCTTGTTGAATTTATCGATTTGTGTGTATGTGAAAGCAAAAAAATAATAAATTTCGCAATCGGCACACTACGATTTTTTTTTTTTTTTGAGTTCGGTCTTTTTTGTCAAGATTTTTTTTTAAGTTCTAAATAAAATCACAATTAATATTGTACACAACTATGTAATAACAAAAATCTAATAAAAATTTATCGTAAATGAAACAAACACAATTTCTTCTCTAACATTTGATTCAATCGTTTGATGAATCTCAATGATAGATGGTCGATTTAATGTGACTTTTCCAAATGAAACAATTGAAAAAGGGTGTTAACGCTTCAATGCTATAATCAAAACTGTGAGGATCACGCCACTTGCGCGCTGATTTTTTTTAGCTCTCGCTAGCTCAAAGCAATCCGGAATTTTCATTCATTGGCTTCAAATCACATGCATTTCATATGCACGGACGGTGAGTGTGTTGGTGCTGTCACACGATGCTGATGTCAAAAACGTGTGTGTGGCGGGGTATGTTCGTGGTGAGGTGAGTACACGTCATGGTGAGTAATACTCACTGAGTCTTTGATACAAAAAAAATCCACTTTGAGCAAATATTCGCGAATGACGAGCAACATTACGCAGAAATTTGTTGATTTAAGATGGAATTTTACAGAAGTATGCTGACTTTTCGCAGCAGACCTTTAAAGCATTACGAAAATTGAAATAAAACGAGTCACTTCCAAACTAGCCGCCAATAAGACGAGACCGTACTTAATATAGCCGTAGGAGACCGTACTTAAACGATAGTATCTGCCTTGAATGAATACATAGTCCAACACATACAGATCTGTATATATATGTTTATGACAGTCACAATTACTTGCAATGTTTGGTGCTTGATTGCTAATGCCGACGATGAACAGTAGTACAATCACTGTTGAGAAGGATCGATTGTGTGGTGACTCGTTCGAATTTTATAAATTAAACTGGTGATTCCAAATGGAAGTATTTCATTTCCATTTTGTGGAAAAATCGCAAAATCAATAGCCTAACACAACGACTTTACAGGACCAAAAGGTCATGTGCAACGAACCAGACAACGACATTAAAGCGGCATTCATTTTTTTCACATTTCCCGACACCAGACTTTTAAACATATTTTTTTCCTTTCGGCAGTGCGGTGTAACAATTGAATAAATATCATATTACAACGAACAATAGACTTAAGTTTTAAGCAGAAAATCGATCATATTTTTAGATATACGCTTTTTCTAATTCAATAATTCGTGTTCAACTTGAAAAACACAACATTTATAGCGCCTATTAGCACATACACCACCATACGATTCATTAACTTTTCAATGGTGATTGTCAATGAAATATTGTAGCTGTTAAAAATTAATTTATGAAATTGATTGTGTGTTTTGATTGACATTGATAGAGAGTGTGTTTGTGAGAGTTCAAAAGCAACTAAATTAATGAAAATGCCATCACAAAATGCAGTTCGACATCGCAGAGTAAGTATCAAACGTTTTGTCATCGTGACAGTGAACATTTTTAATTCAAGTATGAATCAATCAAACTTCATTCGATAATGAGGAGATAAACGTTGATTACATCACAGTACGTTATCTGCTCTAACAATTTTAAAGTGTTTTTGTGTTGTAATAATACCAAATCAAAAGCCAAAATGTACATATATGACCAAACATTATCAATTCAAATGAGAGAAAGAAAACTTGTTTTTGCTATATTTATTTGTGACAATGATTATTATATTTGGTTGTCAAATATTTGGTTGTCTGCATCAAAGTCTTAGGTAAGCCTCTGCTGTAGGAGTGACAAACCAAATATGAAATGAAGCGTTGAAAATTGAAGTGAAGAAATCCACTTATCAGTTGAGTTGAAATGATATTAAAAAAAATCACATGAAAATGAGACCGAGATAAGATTGGTAAATAGATGTCTTGTAGTAGATACGACAGAAAAAGAACATGAAAACTCAAAAACAAACAAAGAATGAAAGAAACCGGTGAGAATGTGAATTCTAATAAGGCAATGTTCAATGAAGACAATAAAGCAATGTTCAATCGAAAAAAGCTGATATAGGGCCCGTATAAAAGGTCTAACGTTGACCAGTAGAAGCTTTAGTATATCGCGGTGAGTTGAAATCAAAATTTCGCCTCGCCAATTCTATGCGGCTTTTTCCATCCGTGTTCATTCGATGTTTGTATACAAATCACAATCAGCACATTGACGCAAAGGATTTTTCCAATTTCATAAGCTACTGCTGCCGCTGCTGCAACTTCAACGAACACACACATACATACAAATATGTCTTCCAAAAATAGCATATTGCACACGACAGCAATGTATAGCCAGTTGGGTGAAAATCATGAAATGTCAATGGTAATTGTGTGACGTTTCACTGTACTTACACTAGCCTGCTGTCATAACTATATCGCCTAGATAAGTTTTGGTTTTTATATTTTGTGCGCCTTTTTTTTCTCGAACAAAGAAATATTATTTATGGTGTCAGAACACAAAGAAATTAATGAAAAAGTAAACAAAAAGTGATTGTTTCCCAACTACGCGCTGTGCGTGTATTTGTAAGAAGAATAAGCGTCGTGTAGTCAATTTTCATACATAAGAACTTCGATAATAAACGATGGAACAACTCCTCTAATTGTGTGTTATTTATTCACGTGATACAGCAAATATGCTTGAATTGTGTTTGCCATTCGATAGAAACATCTAAATACAATATGATATTATCACTTCTATATTATCATTTACATTCCAAATTGCGATTTTCATTCCATATTGTGAATTTTATTTTAATAAAAAAAAACATTTGCGCCATATAATTTATTGCACAGTTTCCATGACGTAGAATGCAGTTGAAAATGATTTTAAAGACGTTCAAAGTTTGATGTTATTCAAATACAGCTGCGTTTATTGTGTAAATAAGACTAAATTCTTTGGTCTGCTTTTTGTTATTTTTTTATTTTCGTTAATGGGTGCAAACAACTGTCGTAGTTAATAATGTGAATGCCATACATCTTCGATTCAGCTCATTTTTAAAATCAGTTGTCTCATCACATTCGTTTAAAATCAGTACCTTGCTAATAAGCCATACACTTAGAGCTTCAAACTGAATCTGTGATTAAAAAAAATCTCTTGTCATAATCCAACGTAGACGTAGTGTCGGATATCGTTAATTTAGTGCAATATTGCATGACACAAGTATATCCAAGATTTAATAGTTAAATAGACAAGTATGAAACATTATCACTATAGACGGCTGGTAAATAATTTTATTATCTTATTGTAATCGCTCATCTTAGTGAATCTTATAAGATATATATGACACGTGTCATACGCATGAATAATTATCACTTTTTCTCCCCGCAACAAATGACAAAATCTCTTTTTTTTCCAGTCCCAAGGTGGAGATTCATCGAAACCGAAACAAAATGGTGCCGACAAATATCATAAATCATCCAAAAAAAGTGGACTTCAAACATCATTTTTATGTTTGATCGTGTGTGTACTGCTATTCACATTCCTTCTCGGTAATTGGTGACGTGTTTCAAGAAAATAGGCGACAAGTTTAATCATTTGTACGTTTATTTACATATTAAATAGGTTCCTATACAGATTCGTTTCATCCGATAGTTGATAAGATTGCTGTATCGCTAGGCTATAAACAATTACAATATGCGGTCGTAATAGATGCTGGATCAACGGGCAGCAGAGTTATTGGCTATGAGTTTCATATTGGATATTTGGACGGTCGGCTGGTGTTGGATCGGGAACTTTTTGTTCAAGTGAAACCAGGACTTTCATTCTATCATGACAAACCGGCTGAGGTATTTAAATATGACGTCATCATTTCCTCGTCTTTCTTTTCATGGATTTCGATTTAATTTTCCACTTTGAAAAAGGGAGCCGAATCAATTAAAGGATTGTTAGCGAAGGCCAAAGATTTTGTGCCAGAAGAAATGTGGTCAAAAACACCGTTAGTTCTCAAAGCAACAGCTGGCCTTCGACTACTGCTACCTGTTGAAGCCGAAAATTTATTGAACGAAGTGCGTGACGTTTTTGTACGGTCTGGATTCTTAGTCAAAGATGATTCGGTCGAAATTCTAGATGGCATCGATGAGGGAATCTACTCATGGTTTACTATTAATTTTTTGTTAGGTGAGTACTGTGAAAGATTATCTGCGCGGAATTGATTATCTGAACACATTTTGAATTAGACTCACTGTTTCACCAACTTTTTTGGTGGCTTTCAAAATTGATCAGACATTCAATAGAAATGAACGGGTTTTAATTCATCTTTTCAATTGCAGGTCGTTTAGGTAGTAGAAATACAGTAGCTGCCTTGGATTTGGGAGGTGGAAGCACCCAAGGTACTGAATTCAATTTCACTTCAGAAACACATATTAATTTACGGTTGCAATTCATTTTCAGTGACATTTGCGCTAAAAGATATGCACAAGACTCCTTTGCTCACCGAATATATGCACACGGTGAATGTACCAAATGCCCAAACTGACGTCTTTACAACCAGCTATTTAAATTTGGGACTACAAGCAGTTCGGCACGCAGTCTATACACACGATAGCCCTGATGGTAGCAAAGATTTGGAAAGTATTTGTGTGAATCCAATTGTCAAGTCAAATCCATTCAAATACGGTACCAAAGCATACCAGCTCAGGTAAGACCATACTCGCACTTTTACGATTAGCAAAATGTTGATGTTTTTATTGTTTCAGTGGAAAAAATAATTCCAAGTCAACAAAAGAGGATCCGGTCGTTGATTTTGAGGCATGTGTTGAATTGGTAAAACAAAAAACCATGCATTTGGTTAAGCCAAAACCAATAACACTCAACCAAAATCAAATCGCTGCATTCAGTTACTTCTTCGAAAGAGCCATCGAAACTGGATTAGTTGGTGAGTGCAACATTCATCTTTATATGTTTATGTTTGGCGCATTTTCATTTCTTCTTTTTCCCCTCAGATCCTTTCGAAGGTGGTGAAATCACTGTCGGTGACTTTGTTGCCAAAGCAAAAGAAGTGTGTGCAACCGCAAATACCGACCAACCATTTATGTGTCTTGATCTAACATATATTTCAGTATTATTGAAAGAGGGCTATGGTTTAAATGCAAAAACTAAAGTCAAAGTAAGTTAAAAATAAAATTACTCGTCCCAAGTCCAAAACTCATCACAATTCCATCCTCTTTCGCAGCTATACAAGCAAATAAATAACCATGAAATTTCGTGGGCTTTGGGATGCGCTTATAATTTATTGGCTGATGTATCACGGACGAAGAAATAAGCACAAAGCTGATAAAAACACCCCACACCTCAAAACACATGTACATTCGAAGGGAAAAACAACCTACAAATCACTCAACCAAACATTCGAAACAATCAAAATGAATTTAAGAACACTCTCGAGAATATTTCAAATTTGTTCATCGCAACAAATCGATTGAATGCATTCGAATTTGAATATCAACTGGAAAATAATCTGTATTTTATTATTTACACTGATGTTGAAAAGAAATTGATAAATATGTGTTGCACAAAAAATATCAGAGACGGGTATAATATTACCTTTTCAAAGTTTTTTGGTGACCATAACCTACACACTCCCGCCAACCTTTTCAATTCCATTCTTTATGTTAACTTGTGATGTGAAATTGTGTATAAAAATTGTTGTAAAAAATGGCCCTAGAGTAGAATATGAGATTAAATTTTTGGATCAAAAAAGGAATTTCCATTCAAAGCGACTTTTGCGTGTAAAATTGGAATCAATTTTTTCGGCTTAATTCAACAAAAACCAAACATAGATTTTTGATTTGTAGTTGATGCATTCATTATCTTTTTTTTTGCACAATTTTTTTTCTTCTTTATTTTAACTTGTTGATACAACGATTTTTGTAAAAATGTCCAAAATAATTAAAAACAAATATTTTTAAATGGAATCATTTTTATGCATATTATTTCTGACATGGTGTAAAAAGGTTTGTTATGATTTTTTTGAAAAATCGTATACAGGTGGCGAATTTTGGAAATTATTTTTGTTTGCAGTATGTTAATCATCGTGAAATCTTATTTTCTTGCCAAAGTAAATAATCTCACCAAAATTTGATTGTGGTTTATATATGCGTTTTTGAATACGTAGGCTCATTTTTAGTTCATTTGCGCTTCGATTTGTTAATAAAGTGCAAAACTGTTGTAGTTGCAATGGAAATTACTTAAAATTTAAAGAAATAGGAGCTTTTTTGGATGCTTTTCAATTGAAGGTCGAAACGAAACTGGATTTCTTTAACAAAATGTTCAAACGACTAACACACTTTTCATCGTTGAAATGATTTTACCTGCCATTCCCAAAATGAATTCTTTTGTACTATTTTCATTTGCAACTTGTTTGTTGATCTACTTAAAAAAATATCCAAATTCTCGGAAGAAATTGAAGAAAGATGAAGTTTTTCATTTATTTTTTTATAATTCAAATGATGTGACAAATACCATGCTACGGCATGGTATCTTCTTTTATTACTATTTTACAGTGCATAGCTCATAACTCCTCTGGAGGCACAAATATTGTCACAATTTCTATGTACTGCAAAAGAGCAATAAAAGAAGATGCCGTAGCAGCATTGTATTTGTCACAATAGGCCATTGCCCAAACAATGAAAACAATGAATATAATTAGTTTCATTTTTGTTCCTGAATCTAATCTCAATTCACAAAACTTATACATATAGAGAAGAAATATCTATTCGTGAATGCACGTTAGTATTTGTTATAACCTGCATAACATGTTTCAAATATTCATTTCAATAAAATAGACAATTAATCTTTTGAAAATGTTTAATTTAACATTTTAATCGATTTTATTTAGATTTTTGAATAAAAATTCCGGAAATAAATGAAAAGTTAACATCAAAATTTCAACATTCATAAAACTAACTTTTTCGAGAAAAAATGACATTAAAAAATGAAGTATGTTTAAAAATTTGAAAGCCGGTGATGTGAATTTTTTAAATAAAAATAGTAAATTGTAAAAATTGCATTCCGTTGAATACGATTCAAAAAAGTAAATCAAAAGAACCGAAAACCATTCATGCGTAGCGCCATCTAGTGTTTTTCTTCTCATTTCCCATACTGGACAAGCGCTGTATAGGTGAATCTATTCACAGTGACAGACGAATCGTAGTGCAGTGAGAGAGAGTGTGTTGTTTATGTGTATTTTATCAAATAATTTGTCAGTATTGCTCGAAAAAAGATACACGAAAATTTCGTATTAGCTCTGATTATCATTCGTCCGTCTGAGATAAATCAAATAAAATAAAGTATTAAAATTGTTTGTTATTGATGGTGAAGTGATTCAGTACAGATGAACGTAGAACCAAGTCCCATCAACAATCCAGTGAAATAAAAGAAAGACGAAGAAGAAGAAGAAGAATTGTAAAAACATTGTCAGAGTTAATAGATTTGCTACGCCATCATAATAGAAGTGCAATACTTTGCAAAGAATTCCAATTGGAAATTTTGCAAATTGAGCAAGAAATTTTTGTATCGAAACGTAAAACGAACAAAAGAAGGTACGTCCAATAAAAATCAATGGAAAATGTCACAGTTTCAAGTGAATTAAAAAAAAAAATGATAAACAGTGTAAAAAATGGTTGTGACTGTTTCATTAATGAAAACAAACAACAATGCGATAAAATTGAGACTGCAAAACAAACAAAATTGTAACCTTTCGTTTTCGATGTGCACATATAACGATAATGCAATGTATTTTCGGTATCAACGAGATTTGCACATTGTTTAAGGCCATTCGATGTAAAATCTCAACGAAAATATGTCGCTGGGCCATTAAGTAACCAGCATGACGTTCGGCAAGTGACTCCAAAATCTAATTACAGCTAGTCTGCATGAGTCATCCGGTCAATTGTGCAAAAGAAATCGCGCAAAAATGTTTAATATAAATATACGGTGACAATCATAGCAAATATCTCCACTACCAATGCATATTTACGTAAACTATGTAGTCGCTTTCATGTATAAATGTTGTCATACAGCGAGACAAGTTCATGATGTTGGTGCGAGTATAAACAAATATTTGCATATTTCATTGTTCTCACACAATCTTCGTCCGAATTACACCGAAAAAGTAATTATCACGCCAATCTGAGTTGAATAAAACAACGTATGGGCTGATCGAATTCCATATAAATATTAAATGAACTTTAATTCGTGCGAATGAACATCTGCTTTATTCTAGATCATTTTTTTTGAAGTGGCGAAACAAAGTTCAAAACGTTTTATTTTCATTATCAGATCATTTATTTCTTTGTTATGCATTTTTTACTTTTAACCGACACACTTGGAAAAGTATTGATGTTAAAATAATTTTTACGCCGCATAATATGAACTCAGTGTTCAAGAGAATGTGCATAACTTACACTAATTGAAAAGCAAGATTCTTTGAAGTTAATCTGAATTCCCAATATTTTAAACGTTTCAAAGTTCAAGCAGAGTAAAAAAGAGTAAACTCTCACATATTTTGTGACTTTCAAGAATTTTTCGCATGTGAATATTTTATTGTATTATTTCGACAAGCAAATTATAATATTAGCCAAGTTTGGGTATTTGAAAGCATTTAAGGAAGTGAATAGATGGTGTCAAGTTGTTATGATTTCGATAATGTGCAAAAAAACACCAAGAATCTGATTTGTGGAAACATTTTCAATAATAGATTTCATCGAAAATCGCTTCCTAAGTAAAATATCAAGAATTGTATGCGTTAAACATCGAACATTGTAATATTTATAATTTCACGAGTCTAACACAGCAATTCATCCGCTCTGTGATAGAAGCCGTTAAAGGTTTTCTTGGAATAATTTTCAATATTCAAAAGATGCTTGATGACTTTTCTTTCGCTCTCCACTGAAACGAAACAATCCTTTACTCCTTAAACTATCGCAAATAATTGTAAATAAATTGATTTCTTTGACCATTCTCACCAAAACTTTGTCAATACAGTCAGTTTTAAATTGACGCAGTTGGTAAGAGTTGAACTTAAAGTTGAACAATCATTGAAGTTATCAAATAACAGAAATGTCTAGAAGTCAATCCAAATTTAATATTTTCAAAATAAAAATTCAACTTCTCATTTCTCTATGATGGCCTTCGACATCGATTGCAATTGAAATGATGGAAAAACTTTCAATTGTAAAAATCAAGTACACTTCAACTCAATAAAAGTTCACAATGTTTGTCCCATTTTCAATGGAAAGTCCGATTTTTGCCCAAAAAAATATTCATCAAAATTATAGACAAAGATTCCGATTCCCACTAAAACGCATCCATTGGTAAAAAAGAATCCGTCACACTCGAACTCTTCCAGAAAATACGTTAAAACTTTCCTTTATTGCTGGTTTACTGCCGAAGTTGTTGTGATTAAGCGTAAACGTTCAAACATTGATTTGAACAAACTCCGATAATTTTGCATTTGCGTGCCATAAAAAACAATGAATGTAAAATGTCGCTTTACAAAAAACCACGGAGTTAAAATGCATACCTCTGGTATTTCCTATCATCATTCATTTGACAAATAAAGAAAAACAACTTTATCATTTCGTACAAAGTAATTTGTATTTGTAATTTAATGATAAAAATGTAAATTTATAGCCGACTTGATATTGTGCCGTGCCCGAAATGTGTTTGTAACATTATTTCTGTGTCACAGTCATTTTTTGATGGTTGACAAATTCACTTGTAACTGAAAAAAAAAACAATGGACATCTTCAACCGTTTTAGTACGATTTTTCTTTTTTCTAAATGATGGTCTAAATTTAAATTCGAAATATAAAAAAATTGAATGAAATTTCATGTTTGTGAAATATTAATTACTTTCTTTTTAAATTCAACAGTTTTCACGATGTCAGGCGGGCCATATAATTATAACTTCATTTTTAAATACATCATTATCGGCGATATGGGCGTTGGGAAGAGTTGTTTGTTGCACCATTTCACGGAGAAAAAATGTAAGTGCTATTTCATGACGATTCAATATACACTAATTGTATGATGTTGCATAAACTTAATTATCGACGATCGTTTTAGTTATGGCCAATTGTCCACACACGATTGGTGTCGAATTCGGTACGCGCATCATTGAGGTGGCAGGACAAAAAATCAAGCTACAAATATGGTATTTTATATTTAAATTCAAATAATTCTGCCAATAATCTAACCCACTGTTTTTTGTTCAACAAAAGGGACACGGCTGGTCAAGAACGTTTCAGAGGTACTAATTTTCAAATGTTATTTCATCATCCGATTTACTAAATTTTATATTGTTTATTTGCAGCTGTCACACGGTCATACTACAGAGGCGCTGCCGGTGCATTAATGGTTTACGATATTACACGGCGTTCAACGTACAATCACTTAAGCAGTTGGTTGACTGATACGAAAAATCTAACAAATCCAAACACTGTGATATTTTTAATTGGCAACAAATCGGATTTGAGCAGTACCCGTGAAGTAACCTACGAAGAAGCAAAAGAATTTGCCGACGAACACGGACTTATGTTTGCAGAAACAAGTGCAATGACGTTAGTCGCTTTCCAGTCTTATCCTCATTTTTGAACTTGAAAGAATATTTCAATTTTGTTCTTATCTCTATTTTAATAGTGGAGCACATGTTGAGGATGCATTCTTAGAAACAGCCCGAAAGATATATCAGAATATTCAGGATGGTCGTTTGGATTTGAATGCATCAGAGTCGGGCGTACAACATAAACCATCACAACCGGGTCGAACAACTTTAACGAATGATACTGCAGCGAATAAGGACAACTGCTCGTGCTAGTTTTACTTTGCTTTACTAAATAACTTTCATTTATTTAAAGATTCCTCGAACCACCTTCAAACTCTTTAGACAAAATCCACTTCAATTTTTTTTTGGCCGAAGAAAAATGAGGATTCATAATTTTTTTCGGAAGAAAGTGCACGCGAACGATTGATATTGAAAATTCATGAGTTCTTTCTGTGTTTTTTTCGTGGTATTCGTTGGAAAATTGACATTTTTCAGACTATAAACATAATGTAGCTTAAACTAAAAACGCGAAAAACCTACCAATTGCGCAGATGCTAATTTTTGTCGTTCGTTCTGTTTTCTCTAGACAAACAATTTATGTATTACTTTCCTTTTTTTAGCATCACATACATTTTGAAGCCATTCATTTTTAGGAAATTCGTCACAAACAAACAAAACATGTTACAACAAAATACACACACGTACATTATATTATCTCAATATCGACAAAATGAAAACCAGATTTATGAATAGATTAGCTAAAATGGATCATAGTTTAAATCAAACTAAAAACTTATAATCAGACACACTCTACTTAAAATAAGCTATTAACTGATTTGTGTATATATTTAAACAAATAACAAATACTTGTATATTTAATGAACAGTAATTGAGGAGCGGCATGAGTGCAAGATAGAGAATATTTTATTCAGATTATATTTACCGTATTATGATTTAAATTGTTTTTATTCATGACTTGACAAAAAAATAGTGTTTTTAACTTTTGAATGAGAACAGAAATGAATGATTTATTTGTTTTTTTTTAAGAAAGGTTATTCGAATCAGAATTCAAAGACCATAATATTTATCTCGTGTACTTTTAAATAATCAAGTGTCAACATCACATTTTATTATCAATCCAAAGTAATTTTCGAAATTCTCATACGATCAATTCATGGACTTTTGATGAAAAATGATATTCTCTCCATCCCAACCAAAAGTATTATTATTGGCTGTCTCAGTCAAAACAATGAGATTCAATTTTAGAAGAAAATTAATAACAAAAATCTGTCCAATAACATGAATTTATATTACACATATATACATGTAGTAAAGAAAAGAAAACAAAATATAATCAAACTAAGGTGTCTGAAGCCAAATAACATACGAATAACACAAATTCAAAAATAAACATGATAGAAACGTGACAAGTGAAGGATGTTTGAAAAAAGCGACAATTATGAAACATTGTGTTAACCTTTGAACCGAAAATCATCAATAATTTGTAGACTACAAAGAAAAAGCCCAACAACAATATTATCAACTATTTTATTGTCATTGTGCAAATTATTTAAAATAAATTATTGCAAACAGAAAAGAAAAATCCTTTGTTGATTATTCAGAAAGAGTGAAAGAGAAGAGACTGTTTCTCAGAGAAATGTATGTGGGGAGGAACGTTTTGAGAGGCTGAAGGTGCACCGCAGTGCTTCTTCAGCTCCTAAGAGCGCTCTTCTTAACTCTGAGAAGTAGACTCTGTGAAAGATAGAGAGAGAGAGGAGAGAGAGACAGCATTGTTTTAGTTTTGCATATATTTTAAGTTTATTTTTCTTTCATTTCTTCAAAGGTTTCCAATTTCTGTTATTTATTTTTTGTTTTATGATGATGATTAAATACACTTATTCAAATGTTCAAAATGTTGGTATTCATATATTTATTTAACGTTTTGTTTTTGTGTCCATGATTTGTGACAACGAAATCAGGCAATATGTTGAAGAATTTTCGTAAAATGCATGTCTTTTAGAATTGGTCACCATTACAGTATCGAGTTTTCTTTTGTTGGTTTCCTTTTTTTTTTTCATTCAAATAATAACAATAATTTTAAATTTACTTTTCCATGTTAAAAATAAATTATTTTAAATAATCATTTCAAGACCTTAGAAGGTTTTCGACTTTTATAAAGAACAGCACATAAAGCTTCTTAGAAACAAATTTTCAGCTGCTTATTATTTAAATAGTATTTGAACTAATTAATATTAACAATGAGACTACAAACAAAAACTTCCGCATCGAAATGCGATTGAAAACGAAAAGTGAGACATAGACTACAGTGAAGAAGTAAAAAGTTTTTCTATACAAATATTGCTATGTTGAAAATTCATTTTCAATGGTACTGTTAGGCCAAAGGCGTACATGAATATTCAATGCATTTTACTTGGTGTTTGTATTCGTACATCAGATTTCCATTTTTTTTTCTTTTTTTCATAGGAGGAAAGGGACCTTTTGCACATTCTATACAATTTTTTTCAATTTTTTCTACTTTCACATCTTTTTCCCATCTAATTCAATAAATGCTGCCTAAATCACTTCTTTTTTTTCTTGCCACTTCAATCGCGTTCAACGATCGAAAAAAACAAATTTGTTTCACATTCTAAACTAATTCGTCTACATATTCCTCCATTTGACAACTAGTTGGAAACGATATTCAAAAAGAGTTTTGAATGGAAACGCATTCCATTGGTTTTATTATAATAAATAAGTCGTATGAATTGCACGCTGCATTTCTAATTTGCTACAAGTATTTTTGGTCATTAGCTGATTTCAACATTTGTTAGAAGTAATTTACATTTATGAGAGAAAAAAAAACAATAAAGAGACTCAATGTTACAAAGTGTATATGTTTATGAATCGTCCGTGTTAGTTCATGCATGGTGAGATGAGTTTGGAAACAGAGATTTCCAATATATTGTAGTAGTATCGAGACGTGAGTGAGGTATATGACATTTTCTTGAAAATAGCGTTGGTTTTTGTGCATGGTAGTTCTTCTCTTTGTGTCTGTGTATGTGTGCACACATGAGTGAGTTTTTTTAATGCATACTTTAACGCAGGAACGTTCATTAAATTTAATAAAATGTACATTTATTTTCATTACTAAATCGTAACTCAGTTTTGCTACCTTTTTTGACTAATTATTTCTGTATATTAGTTACATCACATTTATGAAGTAAAATATTTGTTTGTTGATGTTGCTGTATATGTTTCTGATGATTATTCTTTTGAATAAGTTTAACTTTCATTGAATACTCAAATGGCTCCAAATAAACTAATTTTTCTTTAGTTTATTTTAGGCCATTTTTTTGTGGCTCAAATCACTAAAAATGTTAATTTTGTGCTCAAACTCAAATATAGAGTAATTATAAGCTTTTCTGATGTGTAAATTAGGTTCTTTTTTCACTTTAATCTAATCTTATATCAAGAACTCATTCAGTCGAAAACATGTTTGGGCTTTTGAGTCATAATTCATTGGTTCGTTATTATCAGTGCCAATCGGAATACTTATAGGCCAAAAAATGACCCATCACATCGTTTTTTTATATATCACTTGGCTTGAAACAGAGAATTTTTGTCGGAACAATATGTGGGAGGAGCAGTGCTTTGTAGAACCGAAGCATCTCTGATTAATATTATCATTTTAAATTATTTTTCAGTTTTTAATAATTCGATCCTTAATGTGGAGGAGCTCTGCTCCTCAGTACCCCTCCGAGCACTCCTCCTCGCATGGATTGCTCCAGGAAACATTTTCATCTTTTTTTGACAACATTTTGATGAAAGTAGCAGAAAATTTGGAGCTTTTAACGTAAAATACATAAATGTTCATTTGAAAAATATTCTGGCTACAGAATTTTCTTGAAAGAAAGCCGAAATTTCTCGAATATTGGACATAAGGCCTGAAAAAATGACCTAGCAAATAGAAAAGTTGTTGCCAGAAATGTATAACCATCCAAATTGTAAACGATTTCTGACTGTGTTTGATTCCAATGAATTGATGCTCGAAGAGATTTTGTTTGAACGCAAGTTGAATTTTCGATTGAGCATTATTTTCCATCGAAACCCCAATGTATCTTAACATCCATCGTTTGTGTTCCATATTTTTACAGAGTATATTCACTACAAAATGAAACTGAGCCGGCCGATAAATTCCGGCCCGTCTTCAATTTGCTTTCGAAAACTTCAATTGTCTAGAGAGTTAACCAATTTAAAGGTACAGAAAGATTGAAAATAAACTAGAATTAATCTATATATATATAACTTGTTGATTTGCTACCTTCACTTGATTGTACGCATCTACACATAATGATAATTCAACTACAAATTTATTTAGTTATGATTGTTTGCGATCAATGTATCACTTTCATTGTCGCTATCAGCTTTTGTGGCCGAATCTTGATCGACCTTTTCACATCGATTATTTGAACGTTTTGTGATAATTTGTGTATCATTTTCATTGGCATTGAGCAATGGTTTATTATCGCCATCATCTGAATTATCCAAATCACATTCACCGTCTGCATTGGTGGTGTGATTTAAATTGTTAGCCTCTTCGTTTGGTGTCTGCTTTTTAAGACTATTTGGATCGTAATTTTGATTAATTCGAACACTACTTGGACTATTTGAGCATGAAGACAATGGTGATGTGGCTGATTTTAGATTGGTTTGGGGCGTTGATGATGGCACTGAATTGAGATCGTTGCCGCTTTGGATGACAGTCGATTTTGGTGATGCTGGATTGCTTATGATGGGTTTTGCATTGTGCGAAAATGATGGTGAAAATGATGTAGCGTTTTGGACTCCATCCGATTGTTTACCCTTTGAATGAGGAAAAAAGATTAAAAATGGAGTATTTAAAAGTTTCGAAGGCTGGAATTTTTCCCAAAGATACTTTTTTTGAAAGTTTTCCCGAAAAAATATTTTCGAGAAATGTTCCGGAATTCAAGAACTAGAGATAGTATAAATATACCTGCAAATAGTATGTCATGAGTTGCCCCTTTCCTTTGACGGCAACCAAACCTCTCTGTTCAAATGTATAGCCAAATGTTTGTAGGATTTCGCATGTTTCTTGGGTTACTTGGATAGCGCCAGCTTTACCGGTACTCTCCATTCGACTCGCCACATTCACCGTGTTACCCCTGTTGAAAGAATAAATGATTCTTAAAACCTTTTTTCTCCCACCTTAATATTAACAGTTCGTAAAAGAGCTTAGTCGTCGACGACTTGACAAAAACAAAAATTCAATAAAAATTTTCCTAAGCCACAAATGAATTAATGAAATCTCTTGCATAAATAAATTGTACGATTAAGTCGTTCGGATGTGTTAGATATACATATAAATGAGAAAATGATAAAATCGTAAACAAACCAAATATCATAGTGTGGTTTGCGTGCTCCAATAACTCCAGCTGTGATGGGTCCATGATTGATTCCCATCTTCAGAACGAAATGGTTGAAGCTCTGTTCATTTATGCATTGTAATGCTTTTTTCAGTTCAAGTGCAAATTCAACAAGCGTTGCCAAGTGATTCCATCGCACGGCAATCGAATCGTCTGCCTTAACCGAGCGTACATTGTTCAAACCAACCGCTGCCATATATGTGCTTCCAATGGTTTTGATTTTAATAACATCTTGAAACTGTGGCACACCAAGCAACTGCAATAATCATAAAAAAGATTATTATTCTTTTTCCAATCGAATAAATAAACAACACGAAGAAAATCATTAAAAAGAGAAACAAAGTCAAATGCAATACATACAGCATCAAAATCCGAAATGACCTCGTTGAGAAATCGTAAACATTCAAGTCCTTGATTGTTAACCGCATCTTCTGAATAAAAGTCGGAAAAATTTGGCATGCTTGCAAATAAAACGCCAACTTCGTCGTAACTTTGTGAATAAAGTTCGTCGTATGAACGTGATTTGTTGCGTATAAAATATTCAGCAACATGTATTGGTAAAATGTTGTAAACCAGCTTTTCATTACGGCGTCGCATATCGCTGGCCATCTCTTTTTGTTCGGCCACTTCTGTTTTCCATTTGAATATAACGCGATCCTCTTTATCCATCTGCAATCGATCGAAACGATGTGAAAATTTGTAGAAAGAGCGATAATTTGAATTCAAAAACTTACGTGTCGTGAGAGTAGCCCCAATGCGACCGAAACAAGAAGCAATAAAACAGACAAACTGCGTTGCAACGCTGGATCTCTGCACATGAAATGAAACCAACCACACAGCAACAAAACAATTAACCAAATGAATGCAATGGTAAAGCCGTGATTGGCGTTTGTTCGTTGCAATTATGCAAAAGTCATCAAAATTGAGGGTGAAAAACAACGTGCTCTGCTTCAATAATAAATGCAATTTCTCATGAGCGCTAATGTGCGCGCACCAGTTTTTTTTTATTCGCGCATTCATCTTTTCTCCCATTTCGAAATGCTGGCAATAACATTGACCCAATTCACGTGCACACTACAACCCGCATACTGATTGTTTTATTCACTATCTAGTGTGCTTTTGGTAGAACACTAAAATCGCATTCGCATTCAAACATTATGTTGAGAGAAAAACAACAAATAGAAGCAACGCGGTTGATACCATCGCCGTACATAAAATAATCATAAAATTGCATATCAAGGCTATGGATCTGTGTAATTAATTTTTACGCTTTTGCTTCAGACACTTTTAATGAATCTTTTCAAACATTCATATTTTCCATAGATCTAACGTTGAAGTAGTGGAATGTACGATACAATACGACATGACAAAAAAGAAATCCAACTAGAGAAAAACAAAATACGAATGCCATTGCAGTGGCAATGAATTAAGTGGATTGTTTGTGTCCGTGCATGGAAATATATACAGGCATCTCGTCCAATTCAAGCCAATTCAAAATGGATTTTCGATTGGATTATTCACTCATGAATGCAACTAACTCTTGAACGTATCGCAGTTGTTGCACCAGAAGCATGAGTAACATATATATTGCATAGGTGTAATTATGTGGTAGAAAACTATACTTACAAGTGACTGTCCAATTGGAATAAATTCATGTAACAATGAAGTCCTGTTCGGCACAACACCGGATCGGTAAATAAACGAACGGAAGAGACATCGTGAGCGCAACGGAAATCAAAGTATAGAATATGATTGCAAATAAGTGTCGGATATATTTTTGTTTTCGATTGTCTTTGGATTGAATGAGATTGATGTTCGATAATAAATTTACCTGCAATTATGAGCATTAATACGAATTTGCACACATGTGTCAATTGTACGACCACCGATGTTGCCACCAATATTAAAATGGCATAATTACTGAAGTACGACGGAAAATATGTGCAAGCCGTTGATGCAAACGGCGATGTCGCTCCACCATCGTCTGATAATCCATTTATGCTAAGTGTATCGGTTTCGTTTTCACGTTGACTGACATTTGTGGTGCTGTGATTGCTTGGCAGGCGGTCCATTGCCGATGCACACATCAGCATATCAAATAAATTTGTGCATCCAACAATTGCTATTGTCAAAATTGCCGCTGTACGTCGTAAAATATGGATGTCGTTGAAACGTTTACTGATATTGACTATCGACTCCGAGAAATACTGTGTAGCAAGAGAAATGCAACAAAAAACATCGACGCAAATGTTCAAGTGGCGGAAAATTGAAAGAGCAGAAAAAGCAAAAAAAATGCAACTCACCATTGGAAAACTTTCAGCAATTGAGATCCAAACCATGGGTACGATCAAAATGATTGGTGCAATAATGACAATAAAATGAATGAACGAACTTGGAAGTATAAAGGAAGAGTATATACTGGCAACGATGTGAACGAGCAGTGATGCAATCAACGGTACCGATGACATTGATTCACGTTGTTTTACATAGCTCGTTTCAAGCTCTTTATTTTTGAAACGCAAAAATATTGTTGTATCCTTTGATAGCTCCCTATATTTTATTTGCAACCAAATAATGGAACAGAGGGTGAGAAAGAGAGAGAGAGAGAGAGAGAGAGAGAGAGAGAGAGAGAGA